TTAGGGCTTAGCGGTTGGTCAGGGATTTAGGGCTTGGGATTAAGGTTTGGGGTTTAGGGTTTGGGATTTAGGGTTTGGGGTTTAGGATTTGGGGGTTTAGGGTTTAGGGTTTGGGGTTTGGGGGTTAGGGCTCAGGGTGCCCGAGTTAAAGACTTTGGGCATGTTCCTGGCACATCCCACTAGCAGGGCTAGGTTCCGGCACACAAGACCGTTCAGATCTGTAGTCTACAACCTGGTTAGGAAAGCTGACTCCCACACAATGCATGAGCTTTCCTACGGCCGCAAAATTCGCCACTCAACTCTGCCGGATAGTCTTTGCGCTTGCTGGATTCATGACCATGGTCTCTTAGGTGTCCACTGTCTAAGGCGGTCCAAAATTTACCCTTGGTCTGTACTAAGCTATATGGTAATCCAAACAGGATTAGATTAGCCATTGGACACTTAAGTCTCTTCGGCTCGACACACTTGAGACTTTGCACGTTGCCACTAGGTGCCAGGCCCATGTTTTTTCAATGGGGCTAGAAGCAGGCTACCTTTCTTTCCGCGGGCTTGAGCCCTTCCTCTGCAGGAAAAGAAAGGCTTTAATACTTCCAGATCATACAGTCCACTTTGAGGAACAGGGAACCTATATGGGCTTCCATATGGTTCCATGATAATTTCGGAGAGGGGAATGCATTGTGGAAAGCAGCTGGTATTGGCACGTAGTCAATCCAATAATGATCGCCCAAAGAAATCGTGTCTCTTGTCTAGCAGGGAATGAGGAATACGATCCGTGCCACAAATCTATCATCCCCCTAAAACCTTACTTGATCCCCATAATACATCCAAAAATCCATTCCTTCGTTCACCCTAAGCAGAGGCAAGATCTGTAGGTCTCAGATGCACACTTCGTAAGCTGGCTGGGAAGCAGCTGGTCAAGAATTCTGGTTCTGAACTTCTCCAACAGCGCAGCCAAAAACACGAACCCTATACCCTGAACCCTGAGTGCCATCTGTCAGCCCTAACCCATGATCCCTGATGTCTAAAGACGAAGGCCAGCTCCTTTTTCCCCACCCATTTGGAGTAAACCTCCTCGTGTCAACAGCAGGTGCGGGCAACAAATGCGTGTGAGGTTTCCAAGGCTTGTCTTCACCTTTAGAAGCAAACATAACTAACGGCGGACAGCTTTTCAAAAGTTGGACTACATACCCCAACAAATGCAAGGTTGATCTGCGCCTGGCAAAAAAAGCAGAGATGTTATTGAGTTTGGCTGTGCTTTACAACTTCTAAGAGGCATCTGCAATGTAAATCCCCATAAGCATATCAAGAAATTCTAAAGCTGCGCTGACATATGGCCCAGTTCTGCAATTGGAGCTTCAACGCAAGATTTACAGTATGGTAGGATTCACATCTGCCACACATAAACTCAACAATGCAATTGGGTTTCGGGTCTAGTCAACTTCTCTTGATAACAATGCCTCGGCATTCACAAAGAAGGGACTGCAATATAGACCCCAGAATACTATAATCCAGAGTAAGGGGCTTATGGAAGTGACTACGTATGCGGTCAGGATCGGCGGAGGCAATCATCACATAATGACATGAGCTATAATCTAAACTCCTAGTATCCCCATTAATAACCCCTATAATACTCCCTATATAGTCCCCTACATAACCCCCCTGTAAGGAGTTTAGACTATAGCTGACATAGTCTTCTAATTAGGGCTGAGGATCGGGAACCAAGGTTGACGGGTAAAACCTTGGCATCAGCCAACTGGTAGAACCCTGCGGCAAGTTGTGTGATTTCAGGCACGATTGGCGAAGATCCTCTTACTTCATCCATCTTGATCTCTTGATCTGGGACACCAGGCGAGCCTACCTAGGTGTGACGAAATCCTGAAGAGGCTTGCGAAGCCCAGATGGTCCTATGATCCGTGTAAAGCAAGAGGAGCTAGATATCTCAAGCCCTGAAATTGCAGATGACCCCGTACCCTGCAACATGCAATAGCAATCTCAACTGACTTTTCAGTCTTTAGCAGCGTCTCAGTCAACCGATGCGCGCGCCAGTAGTGCCTGCAGCCAACAACAGGACTGCATCTGTGACTTGCTGGTGGGGGGGATATGTTGGGTCTCGATCCTGGATGACACGCTGCTAACCACCAGCAAGACGAGTTTCTTGAAGTGCCGGCGCCCTACGACCTTGAGCTCTATCATCGCACGCGCTACCTTTTTCAGCTGCCAGCGTCGCCATGCTCGTCGAATCGGCTTGGTCTATATGCTCTACGGGGCATCGGCATCTCAGGCATACGAAACCTCAGCCCATGCTTAAGGTTGGGCTTACGGATTCACCAACCCAAAATGTGACAAGCAATCGGCACACACACACACAAACACACTCACTCACTCACTCACTCACTCACTCACTCGCTCTCTCTCTCTCTCTCTCTCCCTGTGTCTTTGTCTCTCTGTTGCTGCCCGGGAAGCGTTGGTTCGAAGTCAAAAGCGTCCATGTACTTTGGGTCCATGGTCTGCACAAGGAGCTACTTTGCCATTCCCACCCCCTTATACTACAGCCCCACTACTCAATAACATCAATCTAACTATTGTTGTTGTGGTATATTGTAAATACTTAATGTTGGCGGAGGGGTTTCGATTCTAATGTTGGGGGAGGTGCTTAATCAGGCAGTCCGGCCATTATGACTGAGCCCAGCAGCTGTATTGGTATGGCAAGCCTGGTTCTACCGCTTACAGCGCTCCACTCCTCTTTTTTTCTTGGTGCTGCTTACGGGCCAGCAAGCACAATGCAGCTTCGCGGTGCTTCCTATGCGATCAAGCCTAACACCAACGCAGCAAGCTCAAGCCTTACTGTAACCACACGTCCCCCAAAACGATCCAAAGCAGCCCAAACCAAGCGAGAGAGAGAGAGAGACACACACACACACACAAAAAAAAAAAGAGTCATTGAACAAAAGCAGCCCTTCGAATTCGAACAAACTAAAACCCTACAAGCCCTGGACCCTAAACCTTGAAAGTCATCCGCAAAACTTCTGTTACCTGTTCAGCGGTCCATCAGGCCTTGCTGCTGGTTGTTTTTTGTTGTCGAAGTGGTGCCTTCCTTAGTCACGCTTTTGTTTCCGTGGGCTCTTAGGCAGGATCTTTGCGGCCAACTCTCGGGTATTCAAAGCAAAAAAGTACAATCAGGCTTGGGGCAGACATCTTCATGTGAAGGGTTGAGACTTTAAGGTTCAGGGTTTAGAGGTTAGTATCCATGTCGACGTACTTTTCACCCAACAGCTCAACCAAGTGTAGGGCTTCCCGCAGCATCCTCTCACAACACCCTCAACCTTGGACCAATTCATTGAGCTGAGCTGAAAAGACAAGCATCTCTTTGAGTAGTGGCCTCCCACTTGACGCCAGAGCTGGCTTGGAACCTCAGTACCATTCAGGTCTAGGAAGGAATTTGAGGTGAACTCTACTGCGAACCACTGAGGAACGTTCAGGGTGTCCCATTGTCGTTTTTGATAAGCAGTTTTTGTCTGATGCTCTGCAGGTGATTAATGATCCTCGCTCTTGCTTGCCTCTCATGTTTTACAACGTACAAGCACCTGATTGATGGTTGGTACCGAAACTGCTACATCAGCCGACAGCACCACCGCCCCGCTCCCCCTGCGGGCACACAACCACCACCATCCTTGAAAACCTGGCAGCCGCGCCCAGAGCCCAATACACTTGGGGAATATACCGTAAAGCATCTTGGGATGATGCTAGGGCATATGCCTGAAGTGGGGGAAATGGGACTTCTTGGGCCTCTTACCGTAGACCCTACGTATATACATGTGCATCCATGTAAATCTTTACATGCATCTGCTCATGTCCTCTTGTGAACACATATAGCCCTACATAGCTGTGCTAGCCCACATATCTCCTAGTGTTTTATACAGCCCTATAATACTACCTCTCCCCGCAAACCTTAACCCCTAAACCTGAAGCCCAAAGGTCATTAGGTAAGCCAGGGCGCTGCCATTCAGTGCAGGCTGCTTCGAGCTGGATGATGAAGAGGCCCCGCCACCCTCATCTTATGGGACATCTTCTGATAGTTCTACTTAGTATGGGGCTAAGGGTTGAGGGTGTAGAGCTTTATGGTTTAGTACCGTTGATGTTACCATATAGTTGCTGTTATGCAGGAGTTTCCGAAAGTAGGGGCCTCCCATGCGCAACGAAAAGGCTGCATAAACTGTACTATGGGAACTCCGGAAAAGGAAGCCCTCAATTTTGGAAAGCCCCACATGAGGCTTCATCTCACGGAATATTCTTAGGTGAAGTGTTATTATGCACATATACATATATATATATATTTCTCAGTAACTTTCGACACCTATAGCACTTTTGGTATGGTTACTGCTGGTGCCGCGGCTCCTGTTAAAAATGGAGGACGTTTCTAGGCAAAGCTGAAGCCTTACCTTTTACACCCTGAGGGGTACTATTGTACTCCCTTATTGGATGATCTTTGGACTTGGCAAGTCTACCTACTATCTCCAATAACCCCAACATAAGCCCCATACCCCTGTGACCAAGTTGACCTACCCAACCCCTCAAGTCTATGTGAAACTGAGGGAGTCAGGGTCTGCAGATCTTTGCGGGGCTGTTTTGGTGGGTGCTCTCTTGGTCCAAAACATGATTCCTTTTGCATTATGACTTCATTTTTCTAACAATGAAGCCCCCCAACTAAAATATAGGCACTATATTGGGGGTAATTATTCATTATAAGGGGGAGGTATTGCGACATAGGGTACCCCAAAACGGACCATAAATGTAGCAATACTACGGTTGATGAAAGAGGTTTGGGGCATCGTGCTTGCGGACTTTCTGTCAGCAGCTGCAGGCCAAAAAGGCCGCAAGCGGCTTCTTCTGCCAGGGGGCCAATGACCCAATGCTTACGCCGTGCACTTTAGCGGGTTTAGGGTGTAGGGTTAAGGGCCTACGGTAATGGTACTGAAAGGTTTTGGCTAAGTAGATGTTGATTGAGTACTTGGACCCGTAGCAAATTGCAATGCAGACGGAGTCGACCTCATGGGCCCGGCAAAAGACTGTTTGAAGGGGGAATCCAGAAGTTATCCCTTCACCACCTTGTTGTTACACACCCACTGCACCCCTACTATTAAATGTGCCCCTAAACCCTAAACCTTACAACGCCCTGACACCCCAAAATATGAGGTCCCTACTGGGAAGCGTTTTAGATTATTAGGGGTGAGGGAGTTTACGATTATGTAGCCTGAAGGGATTAGGAGACTTACCCTTGCCCAGACTAACATGTAACCTGAAGACGAACACTGTAAAGACTACTTCCCTTCCAGAAGGAGGCTAGGTGAGCCATGGTCTAAACTCCTAGTATCTCCTTTAAGACGCCTTGTAGCCATCCCCTATACAACCCTCTCAATAACCCCCTAAACCCCAAACCCTCAACCGCGTTGAAGAAGGTTAAACTATAGCTCATGTTGGGTTCCCTGTCAGCTTAGGGGAGGATCTCAGTAGCAAGGCATGCTCACAGCCCGCCTCCTTAGACTTGGTAGTTTCCGCAACTAGGGAGACTCAACAAAATACGATAGTCCTTATTACAGGGACCCCCAGAAGGTACCACTAATTTTGGGAAACTCCCATTTACTTCCCCGGGACATCCCCTGTTTTGCATGTCTCTTAGTAACCCGGTGGAAAAACCTTTTCACATTTGGTGTCGCTCAGGTTCCAATGACTTGAATCCCAAACCCTAAACCTCCTCATCCTTCGAGGGGCACTACTATACAGATCTGCTCGCTCAAGCCCTACTGTGCACGGGGGCAGCAAACATCTGTACATCTCCCCACGAACCCTACACCCTAACATCCTAAACCCTAAAACGCTAAACCCTAAACCCTAACATCCCGGACCCTAAACTCTAAATCCTTATCCGTATAAATCCTACACTCCAAACCCCAAGCCCTGATCTTCTAAATCCCTAGATCCAAAACAGTAGTTTCCATTTTATTTTTCCATTATCCCTATATAAAGCCAATAAAACCCCATTATATACCACCTTTACCCCTTAAGCCCTAAACCCTAAACCCCTAAACCCTAAAAACCCCATTATATACCACCTTTACCCCTACGAAGCTTGGGAGCCCACGGCGAGGCTTCCAGGCAAAAGCGTCTTTCGCTGCCGGGGCTTCGGCGGAGGATCCGTGTCCGTCTTTTCATCCTGGGTCTAATTAGGGATTACCATAGGCTTTAGGGTTTAGGGTTTAAGGTTTAGGGCTTTGGGTCTAGGATTTAGGATTTAGGGTTTAAGGTTTCGGGTTTAGGGCTTAGGGCCAGGTTTTAGGGCTTAGGATTCAGGGTTTAGGATTTAGTACCCACCCCAAAAGGTACCCCCCCCGATTTAGAACCTTATTAGGCCTTATTAAGCCCTATATAATGGGTACCTTTGGGGGCGTACTATTGTAATCCCTTAATCTAGGGACTAGCATGCTTCCCCAAATTCAGGGCTGTTTTCTAAGGGGTTCTGTAATATCTGTAACATACCGCTAAGACAAATTGTAAAAAAGAGTGAGGATAACACTCTTTCGGGATGATTGGCCCTCACCCGGCTTCTAAAAAGGTCACATCGGTCAGGCCGCATAAGGTTCAGGGGTTTGGGGCATGAGGGTTTGAAGACGTCACAGAACCCCGTAAACCCTAAATCCTGAACCCTGAACCTGTCACAGAAGCCAAAGTTCCTTGGAGTCATTGTTGGGGTTAACCATAACCTTGCCTAGATTTCAAACTCACCGACTAGACCCATGAAGTTTTCAGTGAGAATTGGCTGCCTTGAGAGAAGTGCTGATAGACCTGTATTTTAGTGTTAATGAGAACAACTTCACGGCTTGAACCCTAAACCCTAAACCTCACAATTCCATACCAGGGCACATCTCGACAGTAGATCCCACACCCGAAGCCCGATGGCCCAATATGACCTAAACAGAAAATACACCGTAGATCCTGCTAGGATCCCTCGTATGGTTTAGGACCTATCCTTACTTAAGGAGTATTCCGTACTATGG